GTGTGTGTGTGTGTGTGTGTGTGTGTGTGTGTGTGTAGTATATAGTGTATAGTATATATATAGTATATACTATATATAGTATAGTATATAGAGCACAGGGGTATGCTGCCTGGAAGGAGTACCTTAGTACCATATGTAATTTATTCTCCAACTCTGGGGCACTTTTGAGAGTGAACAAAGGTTCTAATAGCTGAAACAACAAACAGGTAAAACCAGGACATACAGTATTCCTATCCATGAACCCTGACAGTCTTGAATTCAATGTAGAGTACAACTAGGCCATAGTAGCTTCTCAGCACTTAAATTTGAAAAGCAGAGAGAACAGTAGTTTCACAGTATTGTGAAGATTAAATATATTGACTGAGTTTATATAAATGTTGAAATAACGTATATAAAAATATGTAGCACATTATTTGATAGTAACTGCTTTGTGTTACCTATGATGAAGTGTGAGGATGGGTGTTACCACTTTAAAAGTCATAAAACACCATCCTTTTCTGTTCTTATTTGCTTACTCTTCTCATTATTTCATATCTTTAATGTATGTAGTGCCTTCAGTTTACTGAAATGTGGAGTAATTTGTAGAGATAATTGCAGTTATCTTTGCCATAATAGCGTTTATATTTCTGTTAATTCTGCAACTGGTCTTTTCTAATTCTGCTAAGAAAAGTAGTGAAGCAAGGAAGGGAGAATATGAGAAAGTGCTACTGAAAATGGGTTACCAATAATATCATTATCCATTATTTTTTGTTCTGTTGAATTTGCCTGCAATTATACAACTGTGAATGGCAGAGCTGGGATTCTAATCTGGGTAACATGGCTCAAGAGTATGTGACCTAAACCAGTGCTTCTCATACTCTAGCAGAACATGAATTTGTTTTCTATTTTGTTTTTAAACAGTTTTAATGTAATGTTTTTGTAAATCATGGAAACAGGATAAAAGTGAAAAAAAATGCAAGCCTGAATTTGCTATTTTTAGTGTGACCAGGTACAAAAATACTGTCAGATTTCTATGAAGTATTCTAAGTGTTTATGTTCCATATTATTTATTTATTTTGAGAGAGCGCACACATGCACGTGCTGGAGGCGGTAGGAGGGGCAGAAAGAAAATTCCAAGCAGGCTCCACACTGTCAGCACAGAGCCCCATGTGGGCCTGGATCTCACAAACTGTGAGATCATACCTGAGCCAAAACCAAGAGTCTGATACTTAACCGACTGAGCCACCCAGGCGCCCCTACTTTCTATTTCTATACCTAACCTCATTGTAGACTATAACCAGCAGAAGTCTGTGGACCACACTTTGTTTTAAAACCTAATTTATTAGTGCCAAGGGAACTATTGATTTTTGCTTACTTCAAATTAAGGTTTAGGGGATGCCCCAAAGGTGTGGGGGGTTGGGAGACTCTGGAAGTTCTTAGTAGTAATATTTGTTCATTGAAGTAATGGAAGACACTAATTGGGTGTCCTGAGGGTAAGGCTCATTGTTATTTCTAAGGAGAGATAGTTTGTGTGTTTGGGTTGAGTTAGTGAAAAATCTTGAATATTCATAACCATGAAAAAGCACACCATGGTTTTGGAATTAAAGCAGTGTAGAATTGAACATGGCTAGAAGGAAGAATCTAAACTTTAGTCAGATTAGAGAGATAATACTATATCTACGGAGTATCTAGCTTTGTAATATTAGGATTGACCCACAAAGTTAATATTGTGTTTGATACATATGCTGGTTTTTGCAGAATGTTACTACATTCTACCATGCTGTAGCAACATTCAAAAGTTGCTGGAGATTTCTTTGCGGCTAGTTGTTAGACTTGTCCCACCCTTGCTCTACTCCCCCCCCCCCCCCCCCCCCCCCCCCCCGACTTTCTTCTCTTGCTATGACACCTATTGAGCCTGGGACCACTGAATTAGAAGACAGCTTGTTTATTTGAATCTCATTAACTCAGCAAATCCAAAACCAGTTTTAATATTTTGCACTTAAACTCGTTGTCTTTTCTATTCCCTTACTTGTCATCAGTATTTAATCATTTTGATCTGTCAGTGAATGGCTTCCATTGCTCACAAGATGAAAGGTAACACTTTTAGCCTGACCTTTGAGGCCTTTCACAATCTCCCTTCAGCCCACTGTTCTAGTGTGTCTTTGGTTTCATGAACTCTTTAAGTCTCATTAGTTCTTTACCATCTTCTAGTTAAGCACTGCACTATCTCATGGCTTTGTGGCTCTCATGGCTTTGAGAATGGCTCTCTATTCTCACCACCTGAAATGTCTTATACAATAGTTTTTCAAGTATAGTTTGTCTTTTAAGTTAAAAATGTATTTGATTACTTGGAACAAAATTAACAACACAGGAAGCAACAGGTGTTGGCAAGGATGTGGAGTAAGGGGAACCCTCTTACACTGTTGATGGGAATACAAACTGGTGCAGCCGCTCTGGAAAACCGTATGGAAGTTCCTCAGAAAGTTAAAAATAGAACTACCTTGGGGCTCCTGGGTGGCTCAGTCAGCTCAGGTCATGATCTCACAGTTCATGAGTTCGAGCCCTGCAATGGGCTGTGCTGACAGCTCAGAGCCTGGAGCCTGCTTTGGATTCTGTGCCTCCCTCTCTCTCTGCCCCTCCCCAGCTCATACTCTCTCTCTCAATAATAAATAAAACATTAAAAAAATTTCTTAAAAAAAAAATAGAACTACCCTACAATCCAGCAATTGTAGTACTAGGTATTTACCCAAAGGATACAGAAATACTAATTTGAAGGGATACATGCACCCCAATGTTAATAGCAGCAATATCAACAATAGCCAAATTATGGAAACAACCAAGCGTCCATTGGTGAATGGATGAAGATGTGGGGTGGGTGGGTGTGTGTGTGTGTGTGTGTGTGTGTGTGTGTGTGTGTATACACACTGGATAATTAGCCATAAAAAATGAAAGAAATCTTGCCGTTTGCAATGGCATGGATGGAGCTAGAGAGTATTATGCTAAGCTGAGTAAGTCAAGTCAGAGAAAAACATGATTTACTCATATGTGGAATTTAAGAAACCAAATAGGGGTTTAAAAAAAGAGGCAGACCAAGAAACAGGCTCTAAACTATAGAGAACAAACTGATCATTACTGGAGGGGAGGTCTGTGGAGGGAAGGGTTTAAGGAGGGCATTGGGCTGTGATGAGCACCCAGTGTTGTATGTTAAGTGTTGAATCACTAAATTCTATACCTGAAACTACTGCTACACTGTATGTTAATTGGAATTTAAGTAACAACTTGGAAAGAATGTATTTGATTACTTTGAGAGTAGCTATAATCTGTTAAATTAGCCTTTTGTGTTTTTGCATAATTTTAAAATTTAGAAATACTGGTAAAACATGGGTATTTAAGGTGTAATTTCTAATGAAATTTGCTTACAGAGGAGACTATCAAGCTGAGAGAGTAGATACAGGAATGTTGTGGAACTTTGCGGTGAAGAATTTTGTTTTTAAATTGAATGTAAATTTGAAACTATTTTATTATTTGCTCTATATGTGAAGCAACAATAAAAATGACAGGTTATAAAATGTTTTTTAGTTCTTCTACAATCATACAATAATTTTGGTTCCTTGCTGATTTGATGATCTTCCACATTTAAAAATAACTGATTGAATCAGTTGTTAAACATACCATGAAAACCCCTGCTATGGAGTTTTCAGAGAGAATTTTGTGAAATTGCTGTTGACAAATACCACATAGCCCTCCTGTACCTATTTCATGGTAATCTTAAGTCTCAGAAACCTTCGTAGTTCATAACTTTACAAATAGTTTTAAGAGGAGATAAAATTTTAAGATAATTTTATTTTCAAATTCAGTTTATATTAGAAGTACTTAGCAAATTAGGACAAATAATGGATAATTTGGAGATTTGTTACAGGCTTATGCTTAAGAGTGGAACTGAAAGTGTGGTTTTTTTGTTTCAGTCCCTTAGAAAAATAAATTGTATTTCTTTGTTCTGGTTTGGCATATGGTGGTAATTATAAACCATTTTTTGATCAAAGAGTTTAATATAGTATGGCCATCATTCTGGACATCGTTTCTCATTGTATATGTTGCCATAGATTCAAGAGGTTGTTTAGAAATTGGACTTTCCCCGTAGAATGGACTACCCCCACTGAATTAGCCTGAAAGTTTTATTTATTTATTTATTTTTTTAATATATTTTTTTTCAACGTTTATTTATTTTTGGAACAGAGAGAGACAGAGCATGAACGGGGGAGGGGCAGAGAGAGAGGGAGACACAGAATCGGAAATAGGCTCCAGGCTCTGAGCCATCAGCCCAGAGCCTGACGCGGGGCTCGAACTCACGGACCGCGAGATCGTGACCTGGCTGAAGTCGGACGCTTAACCGACTGCGCCACCCAGGCGCCCCTCCTGAAAGTTTTAAATAGCCTACATTGATATTATTTTTCTAATGTTTTATCTCAGTTAAAAAAAAAAATTCCGATTATGTGAATCAAACTTGAGGTTTTATAACAACAAAATAATAAGTTGAAAGAAATTAGCAGGAAATGATTTTAATGAGGCATGCCTCAATAGTCCCAAGTTTTGTTTTGTTTTTTTCCTTTGCAATAATTTACAACATAACTGCAAGAAACTTAGAAGGTGACTGTTTGGTAGTAAGCTTTTTGGTTTAAATTTCTGCTGATTAAGAATGGATTGGTGAGGGGCTCCTGGGTGACTCAGTTAAGCCTCTAACTCTTGAATTTGGTTCAGGTCATGATCTCACAGTTCCTGAGACTGAGCCCCGTGTCTGGCTGTGTGCTGGCATCACGGAGCCCTCTGGGATTCTCTCTTTCCTGCTCTCTCAGCCCCTTTCCTGCTTGTGTGTGCCTGTTCCTCTTTTTCTCTCAAAATAAACATTAAAAAAAAAAAAGAATGGACTGCTAAGAAAAGTAGATGGTCATAACAAAATATGACCTAAATGAGAAAATGTATGCCAAGAAAATATGCCTTTTTTTCTTTTTTTTTGAAAATGTGCCCTGTATAATGTTAATGTTTTCATAGGTAATTTCTATCATGAAGTGGTTTCTAAATCTTATTAGATTTGGTTTGTGCCATATGGATATTTTCATAGAGTATTTTGTATTCCATCTTGAAAATAATTGGCTATTAAAACCATTTTTGCTTTATTAGAAGAGTTTGAGAAATCCTTAAGTTAAAATTTTAAACAGAAGACTATTAAACTGCACATAGTAACTTAAAAGGCTAAATAAAAGAAACATCAATACTGCTTACGTTATGAAAAAGAGGTTTTAACTACTGAAAAGATGAATGTCTATGGTTAATATATTTTTTAGAGTATTTGTCTTAACACCTAGCATATTTCTATATTAAAAGTGAATACTGAAAGATTTTAAATTATACTTATTCATATATCCACAGACACATTTTTTAAAGTTGAGTATTTTGGTTATAAGAAAAATCTGAAATTATATATTCTTAGTATAAAAACTAAAACATCAAGTAAGGTAGGACTTTTAAATTTTAAAAGACACTTTTTTAAATTCTAGGAACTGAATATACTTTTTCCTGCTATTAACTGCTTTCAATTCCCATGTGTCCAGAGACTTTTTATACCATCTGAGTCTTTCATCATTCCCCTAATTGTGAGAAGAGTTGAGTAACCAAAAAGAAAGGAAAATACTGAGGTGACATTTTGGACCTCATGAAACTTGTAATTACTCATACTATAATTAATTATTTTTTAGTGTGCTGCTGACATAAACTGTTTAAATAAATGTTCTGAAAGTATGGTTTGTATTGAGGATTTGGAACTTATGAGTAAATTTTACTTGTCTTTTAGATAAGAGAATTTACTGAACTTTTGGAGGAAGAATATACTGCATACCCAACCTCACAAATCCATATATATATACTCTGTCCTTTGCTAGGACCAATCACTAATATTTTAAACTCCCTAAGACATCGTTATTATTGTTCCTTTAAACTATTTGTAGTTTCTTACATATTTACCCACTGATTTACCTTTTGCAGGGCTTTTCATTCCTTTTTTGCATTTTCATGTTCCTAGTGGGATCTTATTCTTCCTCTAGCCTGAAGACTTTTCCTTTGGTGTTCCCCTTACGTTGGACCTGTGTGTATGTGGGGTGGTGGTGGCGTGGGGTGGGTTGTGAAGGATATTTTTTCCTAGGCATTGAATTCTAGGTTGACAGTTTTTCTTTCAGCATGGAGATATTCTGTTGTCTTATGGCTTCCATAGTTGCTGTTGGAAAGTTAGGGGTGTGTGTGTGTGTGTGTGTGTGTGTGTGTGTGTGTGTGTGTGTTTCCCTCCTAACTGCTTTTATTTTTATTAAAAAAATTTTTTTTAGTTTTTATTTTATTTTTTTTAACATTTATTTATTTTTTTTGAGACAGAGAGAGAGCATGAACAGGGGAGGAGCAGAGAGAGAGGGAGATACAGAATCTGAAACAGGCTCCAGGCTCTGAGCTGTCAGCACAGAGCCCGACGCGGGGCTCGAACTCACGGACCGTGAGATCATGACCTGAGCCGAAGTCGGACGCTCAACCGACTGAGCCACCCAGGCACCCCTAGTATTTATTTTTGAGAGAGAGAGAAGGAGCATGAGTAGGGGAGGGGCAGAGACGCACGCACGCACGCACACAATTCGAAGCAGGCTCCAGGCTCTGAGCTGTCAACACAGAGCCTAATGTAGGGCTTTCGAACTCACGAACTGTGAGATCATGACCTGAGCTGGAGTCAGGTGCTTAACCAACTGAACCACCCATCCGCCCCCGCCCCCAACACCGATTTCCTAACTGCTTTTAATACGGCTTCTTTATATTTAGTTTTCAGTAGTTTGAATCTGATGTGCCCAGATACAATTTTGTTTGTGTTTTACTGCTTGGAATTCCTTCAGGTTTTTGAGTCTGTGATTTGAGTTTCGGATGAGATACTATATATTTTGGTCATTATTTATGTATTGCTTCTGTCCCATTTTCTCATCTTGTCTTTGAACTTTTTAAACCTCTTCGACAGTGTTTTTTTTTCTTCAAATTTTTATTTAAATTTTAGTTAACGTACAGTGTAATATTGGTTTCAGCAGTAGTATTCAGGGATTCATCACTTACATACAACTCCCAGTGCTCATCATAACAAATGCCCTCTTTAGCACCCATCCCCCATCTAGCCCATCCTCCATCTACCTCCTTCCAACTCCTCAGTTCTCTATCGTCAAGAGTCTCTTATGGTTTGTTTCCCTCTCTTTTTTCTCCCTCCTCCCATATGTTCACCTGTTTTGTTTCTTAAATTTCACATATGAATGAAATCATATGGTGTTTGTCTTTCTTTCACTTATTTCTCTTGGTATAATACACTAGCTCCATCCACGTTGTTGCAAATGGCAAGATTTCATTTTTTTTTTAACAGCTGAGTAATATTCCGTGTGTGTGTGTGTGTGTGTGTGTGTGTGTGTGTATGTGTATTTACCACATCATCTTTATCCATCGGTTGATGGGCATTTGGGCTCTCTTCATAGTTAGGCTGTCATTGATACCAGTGTTTCTTAGCATCCATTTTCCCCCTCTCTCTATTTGAATATCTTCTGTTGACTTATCTTTGATTTCACCAGTCTTACATTCTGCTGAGTTGAATTTCTTGTTAATCAAATTAAGAGAGCTCTTAATTTCAGACATTGTACTTGGCAGTTCCATAATTTCCATTTGGTTCCTTTAAAATAGATTTGTTCCCTTTTTTTTAAGTTTATTTATTTTGAGAGAGAGAGCATGCACAAGGCTGGGAGGAACAGAGAGAGGGGGAAAGAGAATTCTAAGCAGGTTCCACACTGACAGCACAGAGCCCAGTGTAGAACTCAAAATCAGGAACCATGAGATCATGACCTGAGCCTAAACCGAGTCAGATGCTTAACTGACTAAGCCACCTAGGCACTCTCAGTTTCATTTTCAAATACTCTGTTTTTTTCATCTCTCTCCTTATCTTTTCTTCTATTTTACTGTAACAATCTTGATTATTAAGGCTTTGCTATTTTCCCATAGTAATCATAGTTATTAATTTCATTATTTGGATCATGCTTGGATGTCTTTCTGTGGACAGGTTAATCTCTTGATGATTAGTGACTTAAGAAATTCTTTACATGTCTAGTAATGTTTGATTGGTAGGGTATTGTAAATAACATTCATAGAGACACAGGATTATGTTCTCTCCTGAAGAGTGTAGAGTTTGGTTCTTGGAGGCACTTAATTTATAGGTTGATTACCTTGATATTGTCAAAGGTTGGTTTTAGGTTTTGTTAGATGTGTTTCACCTGATTCCTAGGACATGGCCTTTCTAGGATTTCATCAGAAAGCTGAGGATTTCACCCACCCACTCTGGCTTGGTCTGAACCCAGTCTTATGTTATTGGCCTCTGAAGTCTTGGCTCAGCTGTTGCTGTACTCTGAATGTCACAGTTTAAACTAGCCAAGGACCTGTGAGGGCTTTTTACGTAGATTTTTTGAGGCTCACCCCTCTGCAGCCCATTTTTCTCTAGTACTTTGTCCCCCAAAGCCCACCTGCCTTGTTAGTCCCTAACTGTTCCCTGTTTATTCATGGAGACTGCCTGTCTGGAGACTGTCATTAATTTTAAGCTAGTGGGGTAAGGAATAGTTTTTGGTAATTATACGAAGATGTAAATTGACTGTGATGGAAAAATGCAGTAAAAAATGGTGATTTTTAAAGCATTGACTATGTAAATTTTAGGATCTTAATTGCTTTGTAAACATTTAAATTTATTACTTAAGTGATCACGCCAATAAATTCCTATTGAGTATAGCACTTTGCTCATTGGCATTATAATTATGAGCAAAATCAAGACCTAGCTCCTGCTGTGAGCAATTTCTTAGGCCAGTAGAAATTAATTCCTGGACATGTCATGTTATTAAGAAAAATGTGTTTTGTCAGTTGAATATTTACCACCTGCCTGCTAGATCTTTTAGATACTACATAACTGATTTACATAATCTTGTTAATGTGAACATAATATCTCGAGGGTTTTGCTGGTTTAAATTTGACCCCTAGATTCTTGTTGTGGTGCCGTTTTTGAACAAAATCAGCTTTTCTTTTAGCTTCTGGTGCCTTTCCTTGGCATTCTGTTTTGTTGACCATAATTTACAACAGGGTGAAGAGCTACATGAGCTGTGAACACAGATCATCCACAAGCTCCTTTTTTCCCTGACATTTTTAGATGACAATATTAATTATGTTTAACCAAGAAGAAAATTTAGTTCAAGCCAGTGTCGAGCTTTTTTGCCTAGGACTAGTTGAAAATGACAGAAGTTGCAGAACTTTTAGGTTACTATATAACAGTATGACATGAAGGAAAGACCTATATAGTATTGACTTGGTCACTTTATAAAGCTGTTATACTCTCCAACATTAGTTGTATTCCCCCCATTCTCCAAATCGTACATAGTACTTTAATGGTATGTTAAGAAAGACAGCTGATTTCCTTAATTTTGTTGCATGGTGTCTAACAATCTTTCTGATACTAAAATGCGTAAGTGAAAGATAACTGTATATAATATTGTTACTGTATTTTTAAACTTGAGAAACCCTTTGCTCTTAGTGCAGAGATGGCTAGAATGGGAGAGTCTGGTGCTTTTCTTAGAGCTTGGTCTGTGGTCTATTTTATGAAATGCTTCTGCTGTAATTCTTTCTCCTTAGAAAGGGAATATTGGCAATATTAGTTCAAGTTGATTTAGAGTATTGTTATCATAGTTAAGACATTTAAAATAATGTTTTATTATTTTCCATTAGGAAACCACCCCTACTCCTAATCCCCCGCCTTCAGAAGAAGAGAAAACAGAATCTAATCAGGAGGTTGCTAACCCAGAACACTATATTAAACATCCTTTACAGAACAGGTAAGCCTTCTGACATACAGGTTTTTCTGACTTAGGCAGTAAGGTAAATGGTGAATGACTGGGTGAGACTAGTTTTAAATATATTAGGTTGAGGATTCCATTTTCATTTGGGTAACCTGTTTCTAGTAAGCAGTTTTATGTGTGAGTCTTGAGCTCAGAAAGAACTGGTTGAGACATTGGGTTTGAAGTTCACCAGTAATTGGTAGTGAGTGAAACTAGTAGTACATGAATTCTCTTTAAAGTGAACTTGACTCAAGACAGAGGCTTGGGATACCAGCATGTAAGGGATTTTTTGGAGGGAGAATGCCTATGAAGGGTTTAGACATATAAACTGTATAAACCAGAATAGAGTGGTGGTCAGAGAAGCAAAGAAAATGGTTTGTTTTAAGGACAGGTATGTGGTCAATAGCGTATGTGCCACAAAAAGGTCACATACCCATTGGATTGAGTAATAAACATTTCAGAATGGCCATTGGATTGAATGCAAATTCTTTGCTAATGTAGGAGAAAATTTAGTAGAATGTAGATGATGGAAAAAGATTGGAGTAGTTTGCATAGTGAATAGAAAGTATACAAATGTGTTCTAGAGAAGATAAGCAACTTAAAGTTGGGGTGTGAAGGAGAAAAAGCTCTAAGGGATGTGGAGTCTGGTGGGTGGTTTTTTGTTTTTTGTTTTTTTTTTAAAGTAGGCTCCACAACCATTGTGGAGCCCAATGTGGAGTTTGAACTCACAGCCCTGAGATCAAGACCTGAGCTGAGATCAAGAGTCGGACACTTAACTGAGCTACCCAGGCACTCCGGTTACTTTGTATATAAGCCAAGTTAGAAGAAAAGAGGAGAGGTTAAGATGAGTTAAGCTTTGGGGCACCTGGGTGGCTCAGTTGGTAGAGCATGTGATTCTTGATCTCAGGGGTTGTGAGTTTAAGCCCCATGTTGGGTGCAGAGCCTACTTAAAAAAAAAAGATGAATTGAGTTTCATAGTTACAGTTGACTATAGCTCATTAACACCACCCCACCACTTCCCAGTATGTTTGTATTTTTATGGTTTATATGATGAAAATTAAAATGAATGTACTGAGAGCTGATGGTGAGAAGAAAAAGGCAGTGCAGAAACATTGTAAGAATCTGGAGGAAAGTAAATTGGAATTAATTTCTGGGGATATATAAGTGTTCAAGTTCCTTTCATTCTCCTACCCCAAGACTTTTAAAGATCCTATAAGCCTATGTATGTTTCACAGCATACTTTGTTTTATCGGATTTTGCAGATACTGCATTTTTTTTTTTTCAAATTGAAGGTTTGTGGCAACCCTGCATTGAACAAGTCTGTTGGTGCTATTTTTCCAACAGCATTTGCTCATTTTGTGTCTCACATTTTGGCAATTCTCACAATATCTCAAACTTTTTCACTGTGTTTGTTATGGTGATCTGTAATCAGTGATCTTTGATTTGTTACTATTATAGTTGTGTTGGGGCACCATGAACTGTGCCCATATAAAATGGCAAACTTAATAAATGTTGTCTGTGTTCTGACTGCTTTCCTGACCAGTTGTTCCCCCATCTCTCTCCCTCTCCTCTGTTCTCCCTATTCCCTGAGGCACAATATTGAAATTAGGTCAATAAGTAACCCTACAGTGGCCTCTAAGTGCTCAGGTGAAAGGAAGAAGTCCCACACATCTCACTTTAATTCAAGAGCTAGAAATGATTAAGCTGAGTGAGGAAGGCATGTTGAAAGCCAAGAGAGGCCAAAAACTAAACCTGTTGTTCAACAGCCAAGTTGTGAATGCAAAGGAAAAGTTCTTGAAGGAAATTAGTGCTACTCCAGCAAGCACATGAATGATAAGAAAGTGAAACAGACTTACTGTTGAAATGGAGAAAGTTTGAGTGATCTGGATAGAAGATCAAACCAACCTTAACATTCCCCTAAGCCAAAACCTGATCCAGAGCAAGGGCCTAATTCTCTTCAATTCTGTGATGGCTGAAAAAGGTGAGGCAGCTGCAGAAGAAAAGGTTAAAGTTAACACAGGTTTGGTTTGTGAGGCTTAAGGAAAGAAGCCATCTCCATAACATAAAAGGGCAAGATGAAGCAACAAGTGCTGATGTAGATGCTGCAGCAAGTATCCAGAAGATTTAGCTAAGATCATTATGAAGCTGGCTTCGCTAAACAATAGATTTTCAGTGAAGATGAAACAGCCTTTTAGTGGAAGAAGATTTAGTCCATCTAGATGGACTTCCATAGCTAGAGAGGAGAAGTCAGTGCCTGGCTTTAAAGCTTCAAAAGACAGGCTGACTTTCCTGTTAGAGTCTAATACAACTGGTGGCTTTAGGTTGAAGCCAGTGCTCATTTACCATCCTGAAAATCCTAGGGCCCTAAAGAATAATGCTATATCTACTCTCCTGTGCTTTATAAATGGAGCAATAAAGTGGATAACAGCACTTCTGTTTACAACATGGTTTACTGAATATTTTAAGCCCAGTGTTGAAACTTGCTCAGAGCAAAAAGATTCCTTTCAAAATACTACTCATTGAAAATGATTCTGGTTACCCAAGAGTTCTGGTTGGGATGTACAAGGTTCATGTTATTTTCATGCCTGCTAATACAACATCCATTTTGCAGCTTAGGAGTAATTTTGACTTCCAAGTCTTACTATTTAAGAAATACATTTTGTAAGACTATAGCTGCCATAGATAGTCATTCCTCTGGATGATCTGGGCAAAGTACATTGAAAACCTTCTGGAAAGGATTCACTGTTGTTTTTTGTTTTGTTTTTTTTAATGTTTATTTTTGAGAGAGGGAGAGAGTGCGTGGGTGGAGGAAAGGCAGGGAGAGAGGGGACAGAGGATCTAAAGCAGGCTCTGCAGAGAGCCAGATGAGAGGCTCCAACTCAGACTGTGAGATCATGACGTGAACCCAAATCAAAGTCAGACGCTTAATCAACTGGGCCACTCAGGTGCCCCTGGAAAGGATTCACCATTCTGAGATGCCATTAAGAACATGGTGATTCATGGGTAGAGATCAAAATGTCAACATGAACAAGCATTTGGAAGAAGTTGATTCCAGTCCTCCTGGATGACTTTGAAGGGTTCAAGACTTTGGTGGAAGAAGTAACTACAAATGTGGTAGAAATAGCAAGAGAACTAGAATTAGAATTGGAGCCTGAAGGTGTGACCGAATTGCTATAATCTCATCATAAAACTGAATGGGTAAGGAGTTGCTTATTATGGATAAGCACAGAAAATAGTTTCTTGAGATGGTACCTGCTCCTGGTGAAGATGCTGTGCAGATTGTTGAAATGACAACAGAAGATTTAGAATATTACATAAACTTAGTTGGATAAAGCAGCAGTAGAGTTTGAGAGGATTGACTCCAATTTTGAAAGAAGCTCTGTGGGTAAAATACCAAACAGCATTGCATGCTATGGAGAAATCATTTGTCCAAGGAAGAATCAGTCAGTGTTGACAGCAAATTTTCATTGTTGTCTTACTTTAAGAAATTACCACAGCCACCCCATCCTTCAGTAACCACCCACTGGTCAGGCAGCAGCCAGCAACACCAAGGCAAGACCTTCCATGAGCAAAAAGGTGACTCACTAAAAGCTTGGATAATGGTTAGCATTTTAAGTTTATTTATTTTGAGAGAGAAGTCCTCAAGCAGGGCTCAGACTCGAACTGTGAGATCATGACCTGAGCCAAAATCAAGAGTCGGATGCTTAACTGGCTGAGCCATCCAGGCACCCCCAGCAATAAAATATTTTTAAATTGAAACATACACATTTTAAAATACATAATCCTATTGTATCCTTACTATACTACAGTATAGTATAAACATAACTTTTATGTGCAGTGGGAAACCAGAAACTTCAATTGACATTATTGCAATATTTGCTTTATTATGGTGGTCTCTAACTGAATCTGCAGTATCTCTTATCGTTTCTCACTATCTTGGTAGACTCACTGAAATAAAAGTCCAAATGTGTTTTATGTAGTTTTTTCATAGGAGACCTGTAGTTCAGCATGTCCTGTAGTGAGGAAGAAATTAATGCTCCGGACAGTGAAGATTGTCAGCTAGTGAGGGAGTTATCGAAGATCAGATAGTCCATAGAGGTATAATCTATCCTCAAGAAAGCATTATACCAAAGTTGAACTATTGATTAGCAGCAATTTCATATAATTCAACCTAACAGCACCAAACCCCTTAAGGTATTTTTTCATCTTTTTTAGTATTATCTTATAAAAAGCCACTCTGTATGCCTTCTGTCTGTGCTAAGCCCAGTTTTTAGTGTTGTCGTTGGGAGAGTAATCAAGACATAATCCCTTACAGTTTGAATAAAATCTGAGGAGTCCTGAAAAGTGTCATAAGGGGGGCCCCTGGGTGGCTCAGTTGGTTAAGCAACTGACTTCAGCTCAGGTCATGCTCTCATGGTTTTGGTTTTGGGGTTCCAGCCCCACAT